TTTTATAAAACAATTACTTTATGGTTTCCCTGTTAGGATGATCTGATCCAAACACTTGGGAATGTTGCTCGAGTTAAGAAAAGCGCGCAAAATCACTCGCCTTCGGCTCGTGTGTTGTGCGCTTTTCTTAACTCTCGCAACATTCCCGCGTGTTTGGATCAGGCCATCCAAACACGGAAACCATAAAGTAATTGTATATGAATACACGTGTAGGAATACACCTAGTTGTGTTTGAAGCCGTTTAATAAACACGCAGGACGTTTTTTATTAGGTCTAATAAAACACTCCGATCCCGGCTGCTCGTTTATTAAACAGTATATATTGATTTCTGTCCCAGGACAACGGTTCCATATTGCAAAATATTTGGAGGAGGGCAATTTTCGCTGGAACTTAGTGAACGTAAAGGCGACATATGACACACACACGGTCACAGAGTCGTGTCTTGTAATTATGTTATTTTTATGTTACTTGAACTTCTGCTGCAAATCAGTCCAATACACAATGTTCTGCACAGAGAGATTGCATGACCTCGGGCCCGGTTCAAATATTTTTCAATATTCATTTATTTATTTCTCGGTTTTTAACCGGTAAAACGAACACCGCGGAAAAACGACTACGCATGCGTCAACCTTACCTGTAATAGTATTGCGAACTTGATGAGAAGCTGTTCCGAACGTTTCCGAAGGCTCAAAATGGCGGTAAAATGGAGTGACTTCATTGTGCGTCTTTACAGCCAGATTTCGAGCGCAAAAATAAACATGTCATTCTAAAAACTAGGAATAAATACAGCCAGAAGGTTCAAGAAATTGTATTGCACAAGAACATGAACTAAAGGTTATTGTTGACAAATTTATCGTCTGAAACATTTTGTTTATCAACTAAGCAACGACAATTTCCGAATTTTCGTTTGAGATACATTTCTTTAAAAAAAACTGTGTCGTCAAATATAAAACATTTTCGTGTTCACAATAATTAAACTTTAGGATTTATTCTACAATTTGAGTGGGTTAAGAAGCTTAACTTTTCGAGAGTTTTCTTAACTTTTGAGTTTGAAATTTTGTTTTGAATAATTTTGCAAAAATTTTCGAAGTCGTGTCCGTTAAAATCAACAATTTTTACATGAATTATATTTCATTCCATACTTTAAATGCCAGGACGCTTTCAATTAATGTCTAGTCTACCCATTTGCTATATTTTCTCGCTTGTTTTACTAATTTTTGACCAATTAATAAGCATGTTTTTGTTTTAGAAATTGATATTCAAATTCCCCGCCATATTTTCATAATTTGGTGCATGCGCAGACGTTTTTCCGCGGTGTTGGTAAAACGTGTCTTATCAGTTTTTTTGCAAATACATGGGCCGGATAAATTTGTAACCATCTCCAAATTGCCAGATTTCGCTATTTCCTCGATTTCGTGCAGTGAAGTTAATTTTAAAACTAATCAAACACAGACTGTCACAGGGGGTTTCCTGCCAGTTGGCAATCTTCAGACAATCTTCAGACGTTGGCAATCGTTAGTTTAATAAATAATATACGCTCTCTTATTGTATTATATAGATATAAAAAACCCGTTTGTTTACATATTAAGGGTTAATTTTACAGATGGATATTTCAAGAGCAAATTTTATAAATTTATCAGACCTAATTAACTAGGAGCAGTTGCATTTTTCATCTGATCAGTATCCGCACATTTTATCAGTACATTTTTATATACACATCTCAGCTCGTGCTGTGTGTTAAGTAATATATAACGCTGTTTTTACTTGTTGTATGTTATAGTAATTGTTGTCGTTGTATATATTTGTACGTGAAGTCTAATGCATGGGCGCATGCAATAATGGACTTTCCCCTAATTATAACTAAAATTTTGATCTAGACAAAAATTTTATCACAGCTTGAAAGAGCATCACAAAATTAGTAATATTCCAAAGTTTCGTTGTGAAATGTTGTGAAATGTTGTAAAATAAGGATAATATAGGTTTGCGAAATTTGTCGTTTTTCAGTCAATTTGTATTACAGTACGCATGGGAAATTGACAGCCCAATCGGGTGTTGGGCATCAATTTCCCGTTTGTCAATACAAAATGACTGAAAATTGCAAATTTCGCAAGGCTATATTATCCGCATTTTACAACATTTCGCAACGAAACTTCGGAATACTACTACTTTTGTGATGTTCTTTCAAGCTGTGGTGAAATTTTTGTCTTGATCAAAATTTTAGTTATAAGGGGAAAGGTCCATTGGCTATATATAGCGCTGTTGCGGACTCGATCGCTGTTAAATTTTAAAATATTCAGGGCCAGGCAAAGCTAATAAATAAATAAACAGATTTTTTGTAAACGAATATGTTTTTCTGGCTTTGATCTAGATCACAATCGCAAGCATGCGTATCCTTCAATCTGTAATGTGCACGCGAAACATGAGAGAATGATTGACCACATGAAAATGAGGCCATGCATTGGGGGCAAAGAGTGAAATAAACAGTGCAGTGTACTATTTCACCTTATAGCCTATAGATAAAATTTAAATACGCAAAGACCTGAGTTGTGTAACAGTATAAACGCGTGTTTAAAAAGATTTAGTAGAAATCGCGGAGCGGTGAAATTTGCGAGGTAAAATTTTTGTGGTGTAAAATTTCAAACTGTAAAAAATGAATTTTAAAATTTTTTTTCTTAAATTTAAAATTTTGCCCAATATATATCCACAAATCATTAATAAAAAAGCGTTATGCCGGAATTCATCCGTTACTGATGCAGGTTATTCAAAAGGAGATATATAACATATATAACCTTTTCACATATATTCATGCATGGCACCAGAACTGAATGCGCCGGTTGCGTGATATAAATAATAGAGATCCGTAGAGTTTAAGATCTATACGACGCGACCGGCTCAAGTAGTCAGGAGGAGTTATGTTAAGCGGCTGCCGCCGCACATGAGAGAAACTTGCTGAGCTATTTTTCACGAAATAATAATTATAAATGTCGCGTTTCGCATGTGCCGAACGCATGAAAAATAATAGATAATTAGATGAAATGCCCCATTCTCTAGTTGTTTCTAATGCGTTCGTCAAATGAGAAGCACGACGTTTGAAACAGGTCTTAACCTCGCGAGGAAAAAATTCCAACGTCTGCGGAGGTTGCGAGCTTATAGTGCTGAGCGGCATGCTTGAATGAGTTGAATCCATTAGCCAATGAGAAACCATATAGTTTCTTGATGTGACGTAGAACAAAATGGAGGAAAATGCAAACGATTTTGTCAATTTTGTTGTTGTTCAGTAGTTTTCCCAACGTGTGCGGTACTGTGAAAACGCCACACAGCTGAGCTATCTGCCACGCAAGGCGGTTATAGCTCAGGCAAGTTCATCTCGTGTGCGGTAGGCATAAAGTCGAAATTACAGCAAACATTGCATCACTTTAGTCAAACACTTAGCCGTTTTTAAATTAAGGTTGTTTTAAAAGGCTTCAAATATTTATTACAGTAATCAAATTTCTTAGCGTTCATTCTTGCATGAGCTGAAATTCAGACCGCGTCGTTGAGCCGGCCACGTCGTATAGATCTTAAACTGTCTATTAGTATGATAATAAATTATGCACAATATGCGTGTTCTGCAAAGCATTAGAATTCACATGAAGTTATAAGTAGACCAAGTTAGCGTGTCGCTAATTCACTGAGCCAAATTGTTATAATCTAAACATGCAAACATTTTAATTATGCGCGAATACGTTTCAATTTTGCGCCATGATTGTGCGAAAAGGTTACTATATATTTTTTTCCTTTCGAACTACCTATAGACCTATATACATAGTCACTGTATTAACGGATGGAGGTATATATATTAGGCATGCTCATTTGCAATTTCAGCCCTGATCCCGGCCTGACGCCGCGTTTTCTACCATTAAACCGTTAGTTAAAAACAAGTACTGTTGAAAAAGTGCGGAAGACTACGAATCCTACAAATAACAGCAGCCCGACATGTTCTAGGAAGACTCGCGGTGACATTTCACAATCAGTTTCATACACTTCTCATGGCTATCTTTCCGTGTATATATAATGCCGAATGCATTACGGGGACGAAACCTCATGTTTAAAAAGTCATGAGGTATAACCACATGTGGTTTGGCGAATGTATATAAGCAGTCGTGAAAGATTTCGTAGTAAAAATAGATCTTCCTTTAGTTTAGGCCTTTTTTTCAATTCATGCAATCGTGACTTATTTGGCTTGTCGCCAATCTTGACGGCGAGCCTTCGAGTGACTTGGTTTGGAGTTCAACGCTTGCTATACGTATACAACTTCAATAATAAACACAAAATTATATGTTTTTTCTTAACAGTCGAGAAATAGGCATAAGTTTGTGTAAAACGTCCTGTCTCTTGTTTTATCTTTTACGTGTTATTAAAAAGTATACACGAGCATTTGTTTTTATTTCGACTGCTTTTTTGAAAACGACCACTGAACCACTCGTGGGCGTTTCAGGCAAAGATATCATATTGCACACGTCTTTTATACGCACGTATCATGGGAAATCTGATAATATATACGCATGATGCATCTTTGTGTTTTTTTCTTTCTCCAAATTCATGTTATAACACTTCAAACATCAAGTTATGAAGATTACAGAAAGTCTTGACATGCCATATATGACATTCCAAAGCTTCCCTGGCCCAATGTTGTTTATTTGATCATGTTTGGTCAGACATGTGAGATATGTTAAGGAGGATTAAGAATTGCGTAGGCAGACTCTGCACTCGTGCGCAACTGATTTGTACTTTTATCATATATATCTATTTTACGAGCCCTGTTGATTGCTTCGCCGCTGGCTAATATATTATTTATCAGCGATTGTGGGCAAAATCACGCAATGTTTGTGTTAAGGAGAATCAACGCTTGCTAGAAATGTTGCTAAAACGCAGTAAAGTTAAATATAATGAAATAATAGGAATGAGAGAAACATGTATGTAACTATATAGTCTGACGGGAAATGATTTAAGGTGGGAGCATGACGTCTCAACGTGGAGAATTACGTCGAGGAGATAGTTTGACAAAAATGACAGCGCAAGAGTTTTATGAAAGTTTACAGGACGAGTGCAAAGAAAAAGCTGAAAAGTTAACACAAGAATTAAAAATGTCAGCGGATGAGTTATCTCGTCGTCGTTCGCCGCGCTCACAAAGACACAGCGAATTATTCCGTAATGTTTCGTCAAAAATGGCTAACCACATGAAAACAGACCTAGAAAACAAAATTTATAAGCAATTATGGGAGGAAGCGAATGCTGCGGTATTTCAAAATTTGTCTTCGAGGCAGCTGAGTGAAGAAGGCTTGACTTGAATTAATTGAAGAAAGCTAGTTGAATTGATTGATTGGAAAGAAGAGATTTTTCACTGCTTCAAATACCAACGACGATTTTCAGCCCGACTTAGTCGAATTAATCAGTATACTACTACACAATATGACCATTTCAACTTATTTTAATGCATTTGAAATTCAGCTGTATAGTAGTTATTTATTCCCAGGGAATGATTGACTTTGGTTGCAAAGGTAAAGGATTTTATAA